CGCAACCTAATACCGTATACTGTACTTCTGCGAGCTCGACTCGATATTGGTACGGGATATGATTGGATGCGCCAGCAGGGCAATTTAGCAGAATCAGTACTGCAGATCTTGGGATGCCAGCTGTCAATTGGTGAATCCCCCTCGGGTCGAATCCACCTCCAACCAATGTGTAACTGCCACCGCATTCAAGTGCCACCTCGCTTTTGCCACGTCAGCCTGCGGTGCCTGAAAGAAACTCGGAAAGACTGCACAAAGAAGCGAACCAACGGCTCTTCTGTTGAGAATCCGAAAGAGCACTTCTGAAGTTCTGCTTGACCAAAACTTCTGTGACAAAAACTCCTGTGTAAACAGTAAAGTGCTGGAAGGAGGAGCTTTTTGGGCTGCAAAGTAGAAACTTGTTCCTTCAAGCGAAGGGTACTTGCTCGTGCAGCAAATCGGGTTCGACAATATTTCTGCTTGACACCTATTAGAACACCAGTCCGGGCACAATGGGTCTCTTTGGAGGAAACAAGAGGAATGATGGGGCAGGGGACTCGACATACACGGTTAAGGTACGTGGAAGAAAACTTTGTTAGACATCCACTGCATTTGACGCAAGAATGTGCAAGAACGGTCTTTGACTTTTCAACATTTTCTGCATTCCAGGTTGCTCCTATTCTTCCAGGCCCCCACTCTCAAGAAACAATCAGCAAGTATGTATATTATTTCGGTCAGCAAAGAGCTGGCAGAGCAATTGTTGGGGTGCCTCAATCATCATCAGACAATCTTTAATGGAGGACTTTCTGAGGGGTGTAGCAGCTAATTGGTTCGATCCAGTGGTTTTGCATAGCAGAATTCCTTGAAGTGGCATTTTCCCCTCTGGATTGCAATGCATGCATTCGTGCGAAATAATGTTAACAATGGGAGCAGGCATATGTAGCCTCATTAAAAGGCAACCTTACGTGTCCATGTCCTCAGCTATTAACAGGGATTTTTGTGCATGCATTGCTGTTTCGTTCTGATGAGCTGCTTTGATTAAAGCAACTGAAATTGCAAAATCAAAGCCCTGGTCCACTTGCCTTTTGTAAAGTACTGGCAGAAAGACACCTTATCTAGGCAAATGAGGAAGCACAAGCACAAGCTGAAGATTGTTCATTGAGTTCTAAGACCGGCATTGTCTACCTCGCATTGAGGAGGTCTGTTGCCAAACTTCATCCGAGATGGTAGACAAGCAGCTATGCTCTCGAGTGGGGTTGTGTCAGCTCTAACCGGTCCTCAAAATGGTTCTAAACATGTACTTTTGTGAACGCCCTATGATTAGGGGCAGAGCATTGTTTTTACAGCTGCTGGGAAACCAATGCTTCGTCCAATGATGGCTAGTCTTAGATTTATTGCTGATTTTACCTCAGCCTCTTTCACCTCCTGCTAGACGTTCCTGGACCTTACACGAAAATGACGTCCAGTCTTTTGACTATGTTGAAACGCCTACCCGGCAGTCCGGGCCACAGTCTTGCTGGAATTACCAGGCAGTACGGCAGTTTAAAAGTAGACCCTCCTGTGTTGAATTCAACTGAGATTTCTGACTTTGAGCACAGATATAAGTTCGCAGTTAAAATGCGAAGCCCTAGCTGTCAAGTTTTGATTCAAACAGCCTGTAATAGAAGGAAGGTTGGAAACAGGCAGCGTACAACACTCTGCTAAACTACCTGTTTGCTTATGGAACTTATAGGCAAGAATGATCTCTGGAAAGGTCTCTATTTCGCAAGTTTTTGTGCCATGTCCTAGTCAATTGCGTCACATTCTGCACTGGCAGTTCTCACTTGTGGGTAAAATCAATGAAGTTTGCTGCATTTTGAATCTTCACTGCCCGCATTGGTCAGTCTGGTCCTTGTCAGTACCCTGAATCAGGTTGTGCTTTGATTGCCTTAACCCTTGGTGTGCTTTGTGCTTAAATCAGACTTTCATCTCTGTCCACCCCTCAAGTTGTTTGGAATCCGCTCAAGATGTGTAATTTGCTCTCTCCCGAGGGCTTGTTAGTCTGTGGGCCAATGATAGCATCAGCAACCCCATTGAATTGGTGTCTTCGTCAGGTTACCTGACATTCTTCTTCACATCTGCAGCCTGGCGACACGCTTTCTGAGATTGCTCAGAAGATGAATGTGGACATCCTGTCCCTGGAAGCGGCCAATGTGGGTGTCACGCGAGGCCGGCCTAACACTATCTACCCCGGCCAGGTTCTCCACGTGCCTAGGTAAGCTTTGGCAGTGTCAGTCAAGCATTTTCATTGTAGCAGTTAAGTCGACACTTTCAATCAGTATCTGGTGTTGAAGAGATAAGGTAGGCAGCATTTCAGAGCAGGCCAGAGCTGCTACCAGTAAAGTGCAGTTTACTTATGGCAGCTGCTTTCTGCCTTGAGCCAAAGACTGCAGAAGAGACAGCTTTCTGATGAATCATATGGTTTGACATCTTGTTGAGAGAAGATACGTTTTTTTGAGGCCGGAGAATCATGAACGTGCATGCACATCTCTTTGAATGTTCAAAGAATGGAAGCAATGTTCGAAAAGGCAGATACAGCTCTGGCATTGCTTCGCCAGAGGGTGGACATAGGTCCAAGATAACCCTGTTGTCAACCTTGTTTGGTTTTTTGAACGTCCTTAAGAGCAAAATGCGTTGGCTCTCTAGCCAGTGCATGCATGGTCGAAATAAAAGATAGTTGCTGCTCTCTCAGTTGGATCATGAGGAGCTAAGGGCAGACAGATGTACCAACCTTACTGTCTTTTCTTGCCCCTGGATCTGCCTTTTACTTGTAGCACTTTAGTTCGTCAAGGAAAGCGCTACTAGATGTTTCACAGCTCTGCAGCCCCGATGGGGACGTGGTTCGCTCAGACTCCTCCCCTTCTTGAAAAATGTTCCCTCTTCTAATAAAAGCACAGTCCAACATGAGCTCCTTGCAGCGAGCACAATAGCCCTTTCCAGTATTCTGGTCGCTCCCCAATCATCATTCAAAGCCCTTGCTTAAAAATATCAGGGCGTCAACGTATGAGTGCAAAAGCTTATTGTTCCACGGCAATCAAGGGCAAAAACTTATCTCCCGGTTTAACACATTCCATTCGACACAAAGTGCATTTCGGCAGTCGACAGGAGTGCCCCTTACTTGCACTTTAGGGGCTGTGCTCAATGGCAAAACGCTGGGGCGTATCAGGGAATGCAAGAGCCAATTACGCTGTGCTCAAAATGAACGAGGGGGGGCTTTTTACGGAGTTGTATCGCTCTCTCAATTTAGTCGGCATTGTGTCACTTAATGTCATTTCTCCCCCTCTTCTGCAGGGGCTATTCTTCCAAGCCCGTGCTGAAGGACAGGACTGTGGACGTGCCAGCTGTCCACGTCAACAAGGGCCATGCGCAGGTGCACGTCCCGACGCTGTCTGTCGACCGCGGCCACAAGGACGTCAGCATTCCCACCCCGACCGTCGAGACGCACAAGAAGGAGGTCACAGTGCCCACATGGTCTCTCGAGCGCCACGATAAGAAGGTCGAGGTGCGTACGGTTTTTTCTTGAGTCCACGTGTTGGAGCTTCAACGTGTTTGCGCTTACTCACAGCTCCCGCCTTGTCTTAAAATGAAGGTAAGGGTAGACCCCAAAATGGAAAGGTGTTGAGATGACTGGTCCACGCGTTTCGTGTTGAGTTTAACATTCAGGGTTCTTGGCTGAGGGGCCTGGTGGTGGAGTTAAAAGTGCGAAAGGTCTGTGCACTCGGCTTGTCAAGCTTTTCGTTCGGATTTCTGAGGGGCGAGGAACAGTTTGCTTGAGAATCTGATGTATACCTCAATCGATACGGGGCTGCCGAATGTTAGTCCGAATGTGTTGGTTCATCAACAGCCATGAGAGGAGTTTAATCTGAACCGTCATCACTTGGTTTGCTTTTGAGGAGGCACAGATTGTTTCACACAATAACCTTGACCCCTGGTGAACCCTGCCTTAACCTGGGGCAGGAATGAGCATCGCATACAGTTGATCGCAACGGCAAAGTCTGCCTTGATCGTCAGGGCTCAGCTGAACTGATTGTCTCCCCACTCTAAGGTTGGTCTCGGTCGTTTTTCACACACAATCAGCATCAATATTCGCCCAGATACTTTGGACAGCCGATTGTTTCCCTCACGACAGAGTGACAAATATAACAGCATGAACAGATTGAACTCAGCCCTTGTGGATTTGCTCCTCCAGATTCCGACGGTCTCGCTCGGCAAGAAGGACGTCCACGTCGATGTCCCCACCGCCGCGATCCATAAGCATGACAAGGAGATCAACATGAAGACCTACTCCCTCGGCACCCACGAGAAGGACGTCCATGTGAAGGTCCCTGGTGTCGAGACCCACCGTAAGGAACACGGTTATGGTTCCACATGGGACCCGAAAACCCCGATCCCGGGAACAGACGCTGACAAAGCAGCCGCTGCCCGGCACGATGGAAAGAAGGGGGGTTTGTTCGGGCTGTTTGGCGGGGGGGAGGATAAGAGCGGGGCGCACCAGGCGCACCACCCCCACGCTGAGATTGACAGGAAGGTTGCGGTGCCAGAGCTGAGGGGGCCGGAGAGGAAGGGGGGGTTCCTGGGCTTTGGCGGTAAGGGAGGTTCGCGGGACGGATCTGGGGAGAAGGACTTTGTGGGTTTGAAGCGCTATGGAAACAGGCAGGACATTGGCGTGGAGTTTGAGGAGAAGAAGGGGCAGAAAGTCGCGGGGGGTCTGCTGCTGCTTGCGGTGGGAGCGGGGGCGTACCTTGCGTATAAGCGTGAGTTGGCACTTACCGGATTTTTTACTGGTTCGATTTCGACAGTGCAGACGGTTCCGGTTTTGAAGAAAGCCTTGTCTCGTCAGAACCAGGGAATGTTGAAGTTTTGACGGGCTCAAGCTGTCGCCGAAACGATAAGCGATTGCTCTGGCTGACTGGAAATATGTCTGATAACCCACTATGCGAAGCCTATGACTCATTGATCATCCTTGCAAGTGGAACAACTCCTTTTTTATCATCTTACAGTGAGTGCGGCATGGTTCTCAGCTTGTCGATTATCGTCCTTATCGTCCGCTACGGCCGCTTATACTTAACCTCCACCTCCCTTGTCCGTGTGCTTCTGCAAACCTCATGTCACTGCCAAAAGGTGGTAGCTTTTGATGCTCAGACCAGTCCCTCTGAAAGCTCTGTTTTCGGAAACCCTCGTCTGTTACTCGTTGTCCTTGTAAGTTCGTTACCACGCTGATTCTGCTCGTTGCTTTCTTCTTCAGCGGAACTTCGCAAGTTTGCGTCGCAAATCAACGAAAAATTTGGCCGCCGTTCTGCAGCAATCACCCCTGTTTGGCAAGCGAGGCTAGTCTCCGCTCTTAACAATGTTCTCAATTTGACATCCTCACGAAACCACCTCGCAGTACAGTTTGCGCTTTGCCGTCCCGATGATTGAAACCGAAATTGTGAGGAATTGACGGCGGGTTAATCCTTTTTGTCGATGCAGATGTGAAGAAGGGTGACCGGGATGGGAAGGACTTCAGCACATCGCAAGACAAGTTGGATAACATCAGGCGGGAGGTGAAAGACACGCTCAACTCTGAAGCCAAGTCTGCCAACGGGGACTTCAGCGCCTAGAACTGGACAAACTAGCAATCGAGGTGGGCACTGAACCCATTCTGTTGAAACTTTTCGGACAATCTGGAAGGTAGTAGCACCAAAGGCCGCTTATCTGATTTAGAAGCGTTGTTTTTGCGCTTTTACGAGTCAAAATGGATACCAGGTCTTCTTGTAGAGTTTTATCATACCAAGACTGCTGCTTTGCGTCGCCGCCGTGAGACCCGGTTCCCAAGTTCGGGGGTTGACAGGTCGCTATTTCTTGCGCCTTCTGCGACCCTGCTATTGCTTCTTCAACGTGTAGGGATATTGGAACGAGTCGTTGCAAAGACATTTAACTTGGACGCTGAAATGTCAGGAACTTGTAGGCTATTGCAGAGACGCACGGATAGCGTCGTCTTTGTACACTTCTGCAATTTCTACTGGCATTATATGAAGGACTTGAGCAATTCAGCCGTCGGTGACTTACAGGGCCGTCTGCTGTGGTCTTTTCCGACAGAAAGTCCTGAGCATCAACAGTTAGTTCCTAAGTTGTTTAGCAAGAGCAGTCGGCTTGATTCAAGCAGGCGTGCTTCTCAGCACGACTGCAACCGAAGTTGCAACCGCCTTCGACGCTCAAAATATTGGTTCTTTTGTGCAGCGGGCATAAAAGCAAGGTCCTTCGGTGACGGTACACGAAGGACGTCCGATCAACTGATCTTGGGACGAGAGTAATGGACCAGAAAAAATGACCAGTACCTCACTCCCCTTCTTCGCTGTAATTGGCGGTTGGCTACATCTCTCGACATTTTGTTACTTGTGCTTGTGCCAAGTGTACTCTAGTCAAGTCTGTTGACCACATGTTAAGCTCTGTAGCATTGAGCTACACGACTTGTAAGATTGATTGCGAGTGTTAGCTACACTTTTACAATCGAAATGGCAGCTTTAAACTCAAGTTGTTTGTTCAGGAAATCATCACTGCCAAGCGTGAAGCTTTTGAAGCACATGGTTGATGCTCTGACTGGTTTTTTAAACTGAAATGATTGCTTAAAACTCTGAAGTAGCGGCATGCTTTGACCTGCGGTCGCGAGATGAACAGTCCAGACTGGTAGGCTGGGCTGCAATGACAAATGTTATCGAAATATGCTTGATCATGTACACCAAATCAAAATTCTTGCATATAAATACCTGGGCAATCTCCTTCGATGCATGTTCAGAGTTGGCCGACCACGCCTGCGCAGCGATTGCATGAACAATTCGTGTACATTGAACAGGGCCGTCTGTCACAGGCTTGCATGCAATAATAAAGTGACAGGCTGGCGGCGTTCAATTCGAGTGACATTAAAGTGACCTCTGCAGCCGCCTGACGTACGGTCATGCTGCATGTTCGCATAAGATCATGCTCGAATGCGCATTGCCGGGCCAGACGGTCAACAAACATGATGCACGTTAGGCTGAGCTAAACCGAAATAATTCATCCAAAACATACTTTCATGAAAGTTGTGTCCTTCCGACTATATATACATATGTGCATGCAAGCGCAACTTTGCCATATGAGTTATCCATGCACATGCTTGCAGATGATCGGGCATTGACTGCAATGCATGCCTAGTTCATGCACTCAACATGTGCGGGTTTTCAATTGAAGCCCGCTGCGCATGGTTAGTCGTATAAATCGAGCCGCTAACAACGTACCATGGTTGGACAACCGCGAGCTCTATACTCCGACCAGACAACGTCCAACGTAGCGCCTGAGACTCACGCATACGTATTGCCCAAAGAAGGCATACATCCTACTCCTACTAGCACAAATTGATATGTAGCTAGCAGGCTGGATCCGTCTTGTAGGAGTTCAAAAACTCTTTACTACATAATTCAGTAGGCCGTCACTGATCTTACTTGTCATCGGGGTGGCTCTCAATCTCTCCCAAGCCCGATCCCTGCAGCAAAGGCTGCCCTAAAGCGGAATCCCTTGTTGGAGTCCGTTGCCAGCTTGTCAGGCGTATGCAGCGACTCCATATCCTTCTTGCGCGCATTGAGGGGGACCCCCGGTGACGATGCGCGTGGCCCACTGGTAGCAGCCCCTTGCGCCACATCAGCTACATCGGCCATGGTACAAGTAAATGCTCCAAATCGATGCCCGGCTCGGGTGTTGGCAGGAAGCCAAACACTATCGCGGAGATCAACGCAACAAGCGCCGGCGGACCCTTGCTAAACGGAGGGGGCAGGTAGAAGAAGCACGTGCTTCCCACCAACGTCGTGAGTGTATATGTGAAGAAGGCTACGGTGCTCACCAAGGCGTGGACCCACAAATACCAGCCCAAAAACCACCTCACTCTCTTTTCAGTCTGGTACTTATATCGCTCCCCTTGCTAGCCTCTCCTTCTTCCCCCTTGTTTGGAATGCGCTTTTCCTTTGTCGGTTAACTTATACGTCAAGCCCCGGACTTCAAGCCATGTGACGAACTTGTACTGGACGCCAATCACCTTGCTGGTTGGCTTGCCGCTTGGGTCTAATTCCTGCCGTCCAACGATCTTGATGAACGCGCTTACAAAGCAGGCAACGCCTAGAACACTGCAACGAGGAGAGGAAAGAGTCGCGGGAATCGGAGGGAAGTGGCAAGGCAGGTCAATGAAGATGCAGATCAAACGTACTACATGTGAGATCTATTACTCAACAAAGGATGAAAAGGAGCAACATCTGCCCTGTTTCAGTTGGCCTTTGGCCCAATTCGGAACCAAGTTTTGCAGAGCGGCTGCTCTTTCTCGATCAGACCATCAAGCAGTCGTATGACGACAGCTCAGTTTCTTTGAGAATCAGGATCGTTCGATTTGCTGTTGAAAATAAGCTTCAAGCATGAGAAACTGTCATTATCGTCTCTAGAATCCTGGTGCATCCTTCAGTGCAATTGATCCTGTAGGAGTTGAGCAAGGTTTAGGAGTACGTACGTCGTAATGATACCCATCATGGCCACTTCAAGTTCTCCACTGTGCGGGGTCGGTCTTCCGCACTGACCGGCATCCAGGATGACCTGGCTTAGCAGACCGCACACCGCAATGGTTCCTGAAAAGTGAACAGCCTTTGAGTGACTTCTGGTGAAAAAGGGACTACCAGGTGTAATTGTGAAACACCCTACACTCTTCCGCTGCAAAGACAGGTCTGCAGACATATGCGATCAATGGCAAAAGCTGAATTTGAGCACTGCGCATCAAAGCTCCAGCACAGATGTATGGGAAGGACTCACCAGTCGGCATGTATACTGCAAGGCTGTTCGCATAGCTGCCGGGCCTCTTGGTCGAGTCAGTTAGTAAATAAAACACTTGTGCTTGTCATTGTCTCCCCCCGAGGTTGCATTTAGGGGCTCAACTTGACCGGAACAAAGGGAGCCAGTCCAACCAGAGATAAAGATTTATCAGCTGTGAGTCAGCTTTTCTCAGCTTGTTGCTATAAGATGTTTATGTAGGCAATCGGTGTGTAAGAAGAAGCTGCACTTCTCTGTTTTAGGTCATTTGGCGGCCTACAACGTTGACGGTGCTGACAGAATAGTTGTCCCCCGCGTTGGAGGTCTTTCGTCAGCTCTCCGCAGTGCTTAATTGCAGCAAAGCTGAATTAGCCAACGGGGTACAACGAAGTGCTTGTAATGCTGCGGAGCATGAGTTGTTTCGAATTCAATGGCATTGCACACGTACAATCTAGCAAAAAAAACCAATCGAACTCGCCAAGTTGCGCTAGGCGCGCACTCTACAACTTGCAAGAGTCGACACTTAATTCCAGGTGGGCAAGCTGTTCCCAGTGTGAAAGTGGATCGCTTTTGCAGCGAGCTTGTCGCAAATAACGTTGATAGAATACAACTGCCAGAGCTTCGCTCAGATTTCTGCGGAGCAGGAGATGCTAGAGCATTCCAATGACGAAGTCCGAGTCGTTCTGTTCGTCTTTGACTTTCGCCCAGAGCTGAACTGAACAAGTGAACAGAGCTCTGAGGCTTGAGCCAAGGCCAGCGCCAGCCCGCATCTTGTGAGTGGCCGGTTCGGCTTTTTGACACTTGGGAATCTTTGCCGGCATCTTCAGCACTCAAGCAGCAGACTGCCGCGCAGATATGAGCAAAGTGCATTATGCAAAAGTGTGAGCCCTCGGTTTGATCAAGGTATACATTTAATTATGGCGCTGGCCACTTTGCGCACATGCCGCTGCGGTCCATTGGAGAAGGGGCTCCCTCCCCGATCATTGATCCAATAGAATCGCATCATTTTGACACATGGCTCCACCCAGTATGCACCGGATGGCCAGAGAAGCAGTGGCGGTACGGTACCTTAGAAGCTCCCGGTTCAAAGAGGCACATAGAGTAGGCACTGTGTTAGGTGGCGCTTAACCCGGCTGCTCCAGGTAAGATTTGAGCTATCCGACGGTGACGGATCCCCTTTGCGCTATCCATTTGTTATCGATTGGCTCCGAAGGGGTCAGGTTAAACTTCAGACTGCATACTTGACCCTTAAAATCTGCTGGTGCTTGCATGCACAGCGCAGCATCAGCAAATCTGCTAGCTAGCTGCAGAAAATGCTGTGCATTGAAATCTAGAGCACCAATGGAAGTCCTCACAACTTCAAGGGGAGCTAGAACCGTTTGAAGAAGGGGCCTCGTTATGGAGGCAATGTGATCAAGGCAACTTGGGTATTGTCGTGCAGTCAAGGAAGGCGCCCGCCGGTGTGCATGCGTTGCACAACAGAATTATGGTCTGATCCTGAGGGGGAGAGCAGCGTTCAAAGGTTTTAGAGTATTTAAGGTACAGCTAATTTCTTCGGAATTGCGCTTGTTCTCGGACGGTCTCCCAGATAATATGTGACTTTTGCATTGCTTGAGCCGTTTGTCTGCGCTCTTTTGTTTCTGATTGAGCTCTGATTCAAACACAGTCGCTAGGGTCTTACCACCACCACATTCAAGGAAGAAAAGAGAGGTTTGCAAGATAGATTTTCGAGACTTGCTTGCTTGCTCATATGCTGCCAATCAGGGCACTTGTTAAGGGTGCCGCAACTACTGGCAGCACCTATCGCGCAATCCAGGCTGGAATCCTTGTAATGAAATTCTGGCTTGTCATTAGATTCTCTAGGAGTGTGCAAGTTCCCCCTGTGCAGTGTACAGCTTTCATTTGTGATTGCGATTGCGTTTGGAATGTTTTCTCTTTTGCAGCAGCCAAAGTATTGCTGATCGAAGTTTTGGGATAAGAGCAGACTCGTAAGGCTTTCAATTGCACCTGGGTTGTATGTTTCCCAACGTTGCACATTTGTTTCTGGTTCTTTAGGTCGCATTGAAGCAATAATTTTGCATGTGCCTTGATTAGAAAACCCACCACAGGTGGTGCAGGGTTTTCCTGATTTCCCAGTCAGAATGTTCCTCCCCTGTGCTTTGTTGATCAGACAGAAAGTTGACTTTGCAGACAGAAAGTTGTCTTCGCAGCCATGTGCCTCAGCTTGTCACATGGAAACATTTATTCTCGCTTACACAAGGTTGTTGTCTTGCAGACTGCGGGCGCTTGGTGTTGAATTGGCATTGGGGCTTTCAAGAACACAAGACAATGCAATCCCAAAGAAATCAACGTGACGAGCTGTCTGAGTCTGAGGTGATGCTGGCAAGTGCACATGCAGCACGGAGGGTGGCTACAACGCTCAGGCATCTGGTACCTTGTGAGTACCTTTCACCGCAGGCTATTACTCCTGTTCACTGTATTGCTATTTGTGCATTCCTTAAGAAGGTTGCAAATGTTTCTGGGGATGACACCATCATGAGAAGTAGCAGCTAAAGTAAAGCATGTCTTGAGGTGCAGGTAGATGGGATAGATAAGCAACTGAGAGCTGACCAACTTCAGGTAGCCCCACTGATTGGGCAGAGCATCTGTTGTGGGGAACATGGTTCGAGAAGGCATCTATGCCCCCCCGTTGAAGCGTTTGCTCTGAGCCTGACTTTGACGCTCATGACATGCTTACGTGCGTTTGTCTACTGGGGCATGCATGTGATGTATGTGAATTCAAGCCCACCCCTTGGAGAGAGAAAGCCTGCAGAAGAATGATGTCATTTGTAGCTTTTCAACAACCAGGTTCTCAGCAGGCTTGTAAAAGAGGAATGAAAAATCTGCTTTACCTCTTACCCGAAATTGATTCTGGGATTGGCGCTGACCCTTTCCAAACCGCTGTGCAGATACTACATCCCGGTCCACAGAAGCTGTCCAGGATGACGTTAGCAGCCGGGTGTGCTCTTCCGCTGGTGGAGACAAGCCTCACGGGAAGAATGAGGCAGTGGACGTTGGAACTGCATTCCACAGGAACCACTGGCCCCACATCCTCTCTCGCAAGCAGGTAACTGATGCCTTTTGCGACTCAAGCTCAATACTGATTCAAGGCCACTCCCTTTGGAGGAGCTGTCTCTTGAGTATCTATCTCCTGGACTGAGCAGTTTGCCTCTCTCCAAACAAGTCTCTTCTGATGCACAGATTCATGTAAGAAATGGTTTGCCATTTCAAGCGGTCGCTGATAGAAGTTTGAAGTAGGCTTGAGTGCGGCCAGCGGTCAAAAGCTTTACACAGAAAGTTTCTTCTTCAAAGAAGCAATTGCCTGGGGTTTGTTTGAATGCAGCGGCCAGTGCCTTGCGTTGGATTGGGTGATTAAGGGTTCACCGCTGCCTCAAGTCGAGAAAGGGAAGGTTATAGCCGTCAATGTGTCTCTTGCAAAAGACTAGAGAAACCTCAGCGCAAACGATCTCACAGTCTCGAGAAGAATGAAGACTCTGAGGCCAAATGGCCAAGGAACAAGTGCAAACGATCTCACAGTCTCGAGAAAGAATGAAGACCCCGAAACCAAATGGATAAGGAACAAACTAATACAACTCTAGTATGCCATCCGAATTGCAATGGCTTTTCATTCTCTGAAGCTGAAGCGAGACATGATGAAGCTAAGGCGAGACACATAATCAAATACAGCTTGCCGTCAGTTTGTGAACCGGCTTTACTCCCTCTGCAGTACGAGGCGATGTACCGGTGGTCGGTTGAGGACCCCCAGAGCTTTTGGGGCAGCATTGCGGCGCAGCTGCACTGGGAACGACCGTGGGACAAGGGACAGCCGATTTGCAGCTACAACTTCAACCTGGACAAGGGGCCCATCTACGTCAAGGTTTGTCCTTTTGTAGATCAGATGTTGAAGTGCTTTGGTAGGAAAGTGGTAAGGTCGAGGAAGGCGTCCTTTCAGAAGACGATTTCAGGAGACTTCCACCCATCAAGCGGGACTTTGATTGGATGAGCAGCTGCGAGTCAGACGTGGACAAGGGGCTCAACAACGTCACATTGGGCAGCTTTTGAAGGGGTCGATCAAGTCATAAGCGAATGACGATGCTTAGGCATGACGGGTCAGGGACGAGCTTTGGAAAGCCCTTCGGTTGGGGGGGTGCAAAGCTTCGGCCTAGCTCACCTGTCTCGTGGCAGGCCTGTCGATATTGGCTGGATACTTCGAAGGGAAGCTTTCCCTTGCTCAACTTGACGGGCAAAGACTTAAAGGCACTATTGCCGAAGATGTGACACAATCTTCTCACAAGACCTATCAGCTCACGCTTCTCATCACTGCTTTTCCTTTGCAGTGGTTCCCGGGAGGCCGGACGAACGTGTGCTTCAACGCCTTGGACCGCCACGTGCTGAGCGGGAACGGCAACAAGGCCGCCATCCTGTTTGAGGGCAATGACGTCGGCATCGACCGGCGGCTGACGTATCAGAACATGCTGGAGCTGGTCTGTCAGGTACGCAGTTGTTGTTATTCAGGTATGCTTTTTCTCGAATTATACCCAAATGTTATCCATTGTGCTTTTGGCCAGATAAAGATCAATCGGCTCTTGGGACTCGATTTACCAATAAAGTACAAATGCTCTCGCTGAGGTATCACTGCTCTCTTGCAGTGAGCGGTGAGACGTAATAGCGGTTCTATGCTTCGGATCGCTTGCACCTCCTGAGTCTTACACCGAGCGAGCGTGCTCTCGCTAAACATTTGCCTGTCACCTTCCAAAGGCGGGTTTCTCATTTTGTTTGGACGCTCCAAGATTCAACGCTTACGTGCGTCGAAACCTCGTGTGCAGATTGCCAACTACTTGCGGTCGCTCGGAGTCAAGAAGGGCGACACGGTGTGCATCTACATGCCCATGGTCCCCGAGCTCCCGGCCACCATGCTCGCCTGCGCGCGCATCGGGGCGATCCACTCGGTGAGTTATCATGGTGAAATATCAGCAAGGGAAGGCTCTTACAACAAGTCACCTCGTTGCAAATCTGGACATCGTCTTGCAGAAAATGTATATCGTTTACGTTGCAGTTCCACCCCGGTCTTGGGCCCTCATTCCGCATGCTTCCGGTTTGGTATGGCGAAGGAAGTTTCTTTTTTTCTGCAATAGCGTATCAAGCAAGAAGAACCCATCTGGTTTCATGTACGAGCACGCACTTAGGTTGGCGACAACAGGAGATTGGGGTCGCAAACCGCAGTGCGTGTTTTTTGAAGGAAATTGCTGTTGCCAGCCTGACTGCCTGTTCTCTCTTACAACCAGGTGGATTGCCATCCAAAGTTGTTGGTCATCAGATATCTTGGTCCACATATGCTTCTTGCCCTAATCGACTTCTTTATTCAGGCGTTTCTTGCTTTCCTTCTGGATACGTCTCTGGCAATGGTAGTGCAGAACCCCTGGGCGGGCATCACGCCGAAAGCTGCGAGTCACTTACAAGGACAATCGTTCTCACTCGTCACACCCCCTCCACAACTTTCATAACATATATAAGCCCTGCTTTCGCCTCTCCACAGGTTGTGTTTGGCGGGTTCAGCGCGGAGTCTCTGGCCGGCCGCATGTCCGACTGCCGTCCGAAGCTGCTGGTCACGTGCAACGCCGTCCGCCGGGGCGCCAAGGTGCTGAACCTCAAGGAGATCGCGGACAAAGCGCTCGAGCTGTGCGAGAAGAAGGAAGGGGTCCGAGTTGGCAAGTAGCAGCGGCTTCACTCAGCCTTTCCTAACTTTGTCCGTAGAATGGTTCTGGGCTTCCTGGAAACTGGTGCTGTTTCCTGACTGGCTTTGACGCATCTTGACTTTTTCCGCATGATTGTGGGGGGGTGCTGCAAATCTACTTCCACCTTCTGTTCTCCCATTTTCGTTCTTGACTGCGCTGGCATCTGCGCGGTTCCTAGGTCTCTCAGGCACGTCTGGGCCGAAAAATTTGAATTGTCAAGGTCGGCACCCTCAATATAAAAACACAAAGGTCTTACAAATGCCTTTTCCTTTGCTACAGGTAGGAATTATACGTAAGCTACACGATGCCGACCTTATACATTGCTTTCCTTAAAACTTTTCATTTGGTTTTGTTCTTCGGTTACTACCGGGTACTTTAAACACGAACTGATTCAAAGTGACAACCTTAAAGTCCCAGCTATCCTTAAGTATTTCCTAATCTTACAGTGGCGCCTGTTTCGAACGTCGACTCTTTTTCGTGCTGGCTAACCTCAGAAACAGAAGGCCTAGTCTCCGAACACTTTCGCTTTCCCACAACTCATTGGACCCTGACCCTCCCTCCGCAGGTCAGAGCCTCGTTTTTGAGAATGCCAACGCCACCAAACGCTCTGACACCGCCTGGAAGAACGGGCGCGACGTTTGGTGGCAGGACGTCATCCCCCGGCAGTCAAAGAACGCGCCCGTCGAGTGGATGGACTCCGAGGACCCGCTCTTTATGCTGTACACGAGCGGGAGTACCGGCAAACCTAAGGTGAGGACTGATCTGCGAGTTGCTGAACCTGGAGACTTACTCAATCAGATTCAGCTCAGGATTGCAGAAAATGAGCGTTCGGTAAGTGTTGGAGAAGGAAGAGACCCTCTCATGCTACGCATGTGGTGAGAGGAAATAGGCTTCGATGCCGTGAGCTTCCAAAGGCTGTTGTAATGGTTGAGCCCCTCTGGCAGCGTTTGAAGGGCTCACTCAAGTTGTGTTTATCCAACCAAGAGCTACTTTCTTAAAAGCGCCGTACTACTCCCCTCAGTATCTCAGTTCTGGGAATTATGCTGATCAGACGCGTGGCTTGTGCAGGGCGTGATGCACACTGTTGGGGGCTACATGGTCTACGCCGCGACGACTTTCAAGTTCACTTTCGACTATCACGACGATGATGTATTCTGGTAAGAACTCGCTTTCCTAATCCCATCCTGACATGTTCTGTATCGAAATAAACATAAATCAGATCGCGGACTCAGCGCAACGAGAAAAACATCGGGCGGTTCGGATTTTAAGTTGTCTTTTTAGGTTCTCTTCTTGTTTCTGTGTGAGAACTCAAGAGACTGGAAATCGGCGCAAAGTATGTACTTGCAGTGCTGACAAAGTTTAGTGACGTCACCGCAGCGCTTAACCTTTGATTTCGGCTTCTAAACAGGTGCACAGCGGACTGCGGCTGGATCACTGGGCACACGTACCTGGCTTACGGACCACTGCTGAACGGGGCCACGTGCGTTGTTTTTGAGGGCGTAAGTTCTTTGTCATTTGAGTGCATTTATTACGATGACTGCTTCTCGTTCTCTTCGCTGAAGTTCTCCATCTAAAAATGTCAAAAAGTAGGCTACGGAAATTATGTCGTCTGGCAGCTTGTGTGGGCGGCAGTTGAGTGCGATTGCGCTTGAGTGATCGGTGTGCACTTTGGCAGAAGGAGAGTTTATATTGTGCATTGGACCTGCGAATCGAGCTTCAGCAGAGTGGTCCAAAGCAGAGGCTGCCACTAGGCCTCAAGGTTATGTTAATCTGTTGCTTGTGTCCGTAGGTGCCCACGTATCCGGACGCCGGACGGTGCTGGCAGATCGTGGACAAGTACAAGGTGTCCATCTTTTACACGGCACCCACGGCCATCCGCTCCATGGAGAAGGAAGGCGACCGGGTGAGCAGTTCCCAAGAGCCGCACTATCCATTGTCTTCATCTGGTTTGCTGCTAGCGATTCTGTGGTTCTGTCTCTGAGTTGAAAGGTCTCTTGTGGACAAGTATAGAAGGACCATCTTTTACACGGCACACACGGCCATCCGCTCCATCGGGAAGGAAAGCGACCGGGTGAGCATTTGAACAGGTTCTCGTAGATCTGTTTCCTTCCTTGGAGAGTTTGCTGCCACCAAAGCTTTTGTTTCTTTGCGTGAGTCTGATAGCCTTTGCAGGCCTTCTGCACGCTCTGTGCCTCGGTAAGTAAGCCAACGAGGTTTGAAGCCACGTCTTCGAGACAAAAGATCAGGGAAAAGGAAGCGGAGACGAGTTCGAAGATTCGGTGAGTGGGCTTCGTTTCGCTTCTATTGATGTGGTGTATCTGCATACAAGTCGTGAGCAGACGGAGTTTGCGGACTAGAAAACGAGGTGTCCATTGCTGCCCAAATGCAATGGCAACGTGGGAAGTCAGCCCTCAAAAGATGCCCATGTTATCTGTGACAAGTGCACTGCTAAGGTCTGCTACTCTCGGTGTTGCTGCAGTTTGTGAAGAAGTACTCGCGGAAGTCGCTCCGGGTGTTGGGAACGGTGGGCGAGCCCATCAACCCCAAAGCCTGGTGGTGAGTCGAGCGAACGGGTCTTCTGCTTTTGTGCGATGGCGCTCGCGTTTATATTTTTGGTTTGATTGTACAAACACATTGGCTTTTGCCGCTTCTTCTGTGCCGCTGTATGCAACGTTATTACCGCTTTTGGTGACCAAGATAATGAAATCCGAATGTCCGTTTTCCTGACCTCCTAGCTTTCCAGTGCTCGAGGAAGTGATATTGAAGAGACCCAATTTCGCACGTTCATCGAGCGCGTCTTGTAGCTCTTTTTTCGGGGACAAGTTATTGGAGCCACGTGCACCTCAAGCTTAAAACGGATCGGGATTCCTTGCTTCTTGTCAGGTGGTACTTCGACGTTGTTGGAGACGGTCGCTGCCCAATCGTCGACACGTGGTGGCAGACCGAGACTGGGGGCAACATGGTGAGTGCGAATGTAAAATACCCAAAATATCCCCACTCAGAAACACAAAATTGGAGTGTCAAGGCAGTCTGCGATCGTTTTTGGTGTTCCGTTGAACCCTACCAATCGATAGAATCCGAACGTGAGCATCTGATTATCTTCTCTGATTGACAGAGTTTGCCTATTTTCTCAAAGGTAGGGTTACATTCCTGCACCTGACCCAAATTCCTGCAAATGCAGATTTCTCCGATGGCCGGGGCTTGGGACCTGAAGCCGGGCTCCGCCACGCTTCCTTTCTTCGGTGTCCAACCTGTCCTGCTCGACGAGAAGGGCCGCGAGAAAGAAGGCGCGACCGACGGGAACTTGTGTATCAAAGCGCCCTGGCCTGGTGAGCTGTTCTTTGCTTTTCTTGTTTTTCTTTCGGGTGCATAATCTCGTTTTAGCGAACGGGGTCCTCTTAGCCATTCCGTTCAACGGTCAGCCTGTACTGCTTGACGAGAAGGGCCGCGAGAGAGAGGAGCGACTGACAGGGATCTGCGCACTGGCCTGGCAAGCTGTTTGGGCCTTTCTTGTTTCGTTCTTGTGAGATTTATTCGACTTGGCAAACGGGTTCTCTCAGCCATTCCGTCCGGCGGTCAGCCGTTGCTGCTCGACGAGAAGGAAAGAAGGAGAGCAAAATTGACGGGAACCTCGGATCAAAGGGCCCTGGCCCGGTGAGCTTTTCCTGAATCTTGCTTTTTGAAGACTCAAGGGGTTCTAACCGTCCCGTTCAGCGCCAAGTCCGTTCCGAAGAAAGTTCGTAAGAAACAGGTGCGATTGGCGCAATCGTACCTTGTTCAAGAGCGCTTTTGCCCCGTGTACCCCCTTTGCCTCCCAAATGATAGCCCACGATTTCGTTGAAAGGGAGCGTACTGGAAACTCATTGCGATCTTCAAGCATTCCGCCTATCGCTTCGGTTGTTCCGTTTATGACCAAGCGGCCGAGTTCCAGGCGACTGTAATGCCGGTTCCGTGACTCTGGGGGAGCCAAGATGGTGCTTTTGAGCCGTCATCGCAAGCGCGTCTGGGAAAGGCAGTGTGATGAAGCTCTGAAGGCGTGATCCGCGGCGGCGAGAGTCGCGCACATGCAGACTTAGCTCAGCATCTCCTGCAGAATCTGAAACCTTCCTGTGCCCGCATCTTTCGTTTTTATCACCGGCAAACGTGCTTCTAGAATTGCCAACAGGGAGCTGCACGCTGTTGCCAATAACTCTGGCGACTTTCCACTGCTTCACGTCCGGTGTCAATCAGCCGGCAGAAATCAGTTTCATATTCACCCGCCCAAGGTCCTCAGCTTGTTGGATGTCATGCGCGCTTTTGTGTCGCAACATTCGCTCTGTGGGCTTGGCAGGTATCGCACGCACGCTGTTTGGAGATCACGAGAGGTTCCAACAGACCTACTTCTCGACATACAAGGGATATTACGTCACCGGAGATGGCGCTAGAAGGTCAGCCGACGCTCTTTCTTATCCGCTGACATAGAAAAGTTTTAGCCGGTTTTTGCTTCTGGTGAAAGGTGTCCTTGCTTCAGAGAATTTTGCGGTTCTTCATTTCGTGTCGTTCTTCTCAAATTTGTTCGTGCAAATCAACGCCTTACGTCACTGAGTTACCTTGGATCGCCGTATTTCCTCTTTTCTTTGCTCTCGCAATGAATGTGGACAATAGAGAGGCTGCAGTTCAGATGGAGACCAAAAGCCTGTCGAAAAAAGCCAACTGTTTGAGCCTTACGGACAAAAATGCTCATGCTGACGTTTATTACTGCCGCCGCAGAGACGAGGACGGGTATATTTGGCTGACGGGCCGGACCGATGACGTCATCAACGTCAGGTGAGGGCAGTGCTACTCGGAGCGTATGCTTGATTGGTTCCCAGTGACCATCCTTTTCCTAGCTGAGGTTGCGGAGACGGCAATCAGAGCTTCAGGGGCTTTTGTATTTAAGGTTCGTTGCGCTGTGCGATTTCTGAGAGTGGTATGACACGTCGTTGCCGTATTGCAGTCTCCGTTCGGGGTTTCTTAGAGCTGAAAGAATTACCACGTGTGTTTAGCGTTTCCAAAGTTTGCCAGATCTCCGGGTTGCAATCTTTCGAGCGGCGCTCCTCATGAGTGGCAAAATGCTCCGAGAGTCTCTCTCATATGTCGGCAGAATCACTTCTCAACAACAACTTCCTTCGTTCCTGCGCCATGAAGAGCTTCCTGCGCCGCTTCTGACCCGTTCTGCGAATCCCTATCTCTGCAGCGGGCATAGAATCAGTACGTCAGAAGTGGAAGCGGCTCTGAACGCCCATCCCGCGTGTGCCGAGTCGGCGGTGGTTGGGTTTGACCACGAGGTATAAATCGTCAATCTCCTGTATTCATTTTCTTTCTTGTGAAGTGCTACATAGTCACTCTGTCACTCCCGAGTCCCTTCGCCGCTGCGACTTGTGTTTTCGGAAAAGATCCGCATTTGTCTGTAGTTTTAGTCTGATCGCGGAAAGTTCTGCAGGTAGGCAGTTTCTGCACGCAGGTCTGAGACGGTAGGTGCAGTCAATGCCATCAGATTCTAGAACGGCTCTGCGCAGTTATAAACTTCTGGAGGGACAGGGAAGCGTCTCTTCTTAAAGACCTGCAACATGGAACCATCTTTGGTTTGTCTAACATCAACTGTCAACCCAGAGCTTCGTTCTGTGCCTACTCAGAGTTGACTGCCCACGACGCCGCTTCCGTGCCCTGACAAACTGGAATAAGCGGGGGGTTTGTCTTGCAGTGGAACAAATCATTCCCATCTTTCGGAATATATAAGCCGAGGCTCGTAAGCCACATGTACATCCACCGATCCCGGTCGGGCGGTTTGAAAAAGCCAGGATGTCTCCTTTGTCTTCGCGGTCATACGAGGCCAAACAAGACCTTAAGGTTGGAAGATAACCTTCTAGCTTTCTAAGATTCCTGGATCAAAAGACTTGGTGTAATGGACCCGTCCTACAGTTGAAAGGCCAGGGCATCTACGCC